TATACACATACATACAGACACATATGTAAATATGTCAATATGTACAAATGTATACATGAAAATATGTGTATGTGTATGTGCATGTGCATGTGCATGTGCATGTGTATGTGTATGTGTATGTGTATGTATGCATGCATGCACGCATGCATGTATGTAAAGATACATATGAAATGAGACGAGATGCGATGAGATGAGATGAAATGAAATAAAACGAAACGGTATAATATGATAGAACATGATGTGGAACTATATGAGATGGCACGATATGATAAGATAGGATACGGTATGTCATGGTATGACACTGTATGGGGTGGTGTGAATCTGATATGGTATGTTCGGCTTTGATATGATAAGACCTGATCGGATTTGATATGATATGATGTGTTGTGAAATTTTGGTACACCTAAATATATACACACATATACATACACACGTACATACACACATACATACAATCATACATACATACATACATACATACATACATACAATTCATTCACTCATTCATTTATTCATTCATTCTCACACACACCTGTGTGTGTGTGTGCTTATGCATGTGTCTGCTTGTGATAACAAGAACTCAGGCCTTCTCAGCCGAGATCACAGGAGCATAGGACGTCAACATGAAGTGGATGCGCGGGTATGGGACCAGGTTGGTCTGGAACTCCGTGATATCCACGTTCAAAGCTCCATCGAATCGCAGCGATGCGGTCAAACTTGAGATGATCTGTGCGATGAGGCGGTTCAGGTTGGTGTACGTAGGTCGCTCAATGTCCAGGTTCCTCGATCATGTTGCTTGCGAAGCCATGGGCATGATGGTGCTCTCGGTGGCAAACACACACTGTGGAATCAAACCTTTCTAAACAGCAACAAGCTTCCGGCGGCAAATATCATACAACGCCTCGTTGTCGTACCTTGGTTGGTCTCGCATCATCCATGTCTTGGTTGTTGAATCTGGGTTTCCACTAAAGACTTCAATGCGAGCTCTCCGGTACTCAAACATCCGAGGTGCATGATGGTCACATCCGTGTGCTCAAGTAGCGAGTGGACACACAAAACAGTGTTGTAGGGCTCGACCACGGCAGTCGCCACCTGAGGGCAGCACCAGACCGTGAAGGAGATCTTGCTCTTCTTGCCGTAATCCACGGAAAGCCTGCCGAGCTGAAAACATCTTGCACACATTTTCGTTGAAGTCGCAGAAGATCCTGAAAACCAAAAAACTCAACTCAATATACTATATACTACAACCGCGTAAACATCCACAACCGCCCATAACTAAACCCATCACGATACCGTTTTTCAAGCCCAGAGCGCCTCTCGAGCATGAGACATCCGAGGCCTGATCCTGTTCCTCCGCCGCATGCCTCTAGTCTTGTCGCTAAGGATTTAGGGATTTGAGGTTTAGGAAACCCTAAACCCTAAACCCCAAACCTCTAGCTTCGGATCTAGCAGGTGTTCAGGCAACGGCTTTAGGATTTAGGGTTTTGGGGTTTAGAGTTTAGGGTGTATACAGGGTTTAGCATTTAGGCGGTTTTAGGATAAGACCAACATGGGAAATAAAAAACTATCCCAATATGCCAGCTGGGTGCGTTGTACACGCAAAACCCTTGGAGTCCGGTGCCTTGGTGACGCGTTTGGGGTTTAGAGTTTAGAGGTTTAGCCTTAGTGTTTTGGGTTTAGCTCCTAAGGTGTTGGGGTTTAGGAGGCTTGTGGTGCTCGAGGGAGAGGGGCCTAATCCAATGTGAGCACACGCAATCACACCAACCAATCATCCTGCAAGCTGCAGTTGTCAGCCAGCCTTAATTGCCCAAAGCACAAAGAAATCACAAATTAGACTTTAATAACAAGAATAATAGGCAACCAGAACCCAAATGCTGAAAGGATAAGTGCTGTGACGCCGAGAAGCTTTCTGATGCGGTCCAAGACCAGGTCCACGATTTCTTTCCCAATCGTGTAATGCCCACGAGCGAAATTATTTGCCGCATCCTTTGCCAACATGTGGTGGCGATTTCAAAACAAACCAAGGACTTTGCCAACATGTGGTGACGATTTCAAAAAAAAAACAAAGGGGTGACACCGTGTCTGTGCACCAAGAAACCTAAGTGCAACGCATTCGTTAGAGAGCCGAGCAACCTCCTTGCCAGAAATGAGCTGCTCCGGGTGGAAAAGTTGACGGTAGGTGCCTGTGCGAACCTCATCCACGACGGTGGGTTCCAAGTCGACCTTGGTAGCATCGTTCCTCCGCGACAGTGGGTGCATTGCAAAATCACAGCCAAGCCGCCATCACGCAGCGGGGCACGTGCTTGCCAGCGCCCGTCTCACTGAAAAACGTATTGAACGCATCCTGAAGAAGGTGTGTGTCTGGAATTTGATTGTGCTCGAAGATTCTGGATGACTCATGACACCTCTCGTGTTGGCGAAACAACAAGTCGGCACAACACTGAACATCACAAAGACGAGAACTGAATGGATACACAACCCAGTCGGTTAATCGCTTCCCTTTTCCGAAAAAATAGTAGTAGGAATGCGTATCTATACAGTATAACATAATACAATGCTCCACCACACGGGCTTACCGGGGCCCCGGTGGTCCCCTGCAATACTGGACAAATGAAAAGGACTCTTGGTGACAGAGTTCCCACACACAGAAAGCCACTACGGCAAAAAACAAAAAGGCTCCACAGGAGGGCTAGGCCGCGCTTGGGGCTTGAAAAAGGCCTTTCGGCTGCGAGAATTGAAAAAGAAGGAGAAATGTGACTCTGAAACGACAAATGTGGAAAAAGGTAAAGGAAAAAGAAAACGGGTGGCCCACGTTCGGCACTTTAAAACTCGTTAGAGGACTGCGCTTGCATTTCGCAGGTCTTACAGAATACCGCAGCCCTGCAGCGCATGTCCTATTGGTACGGCCAAGCATCTGCAATTCGCAGGTCTCACCAAGCCGCCGCAGCCGCGCAGTGCTTGCCGACCGACGGCTATAACCAGCCAAAGCGTTTGAGAAACTCTCAAGTCATGCAGTTTCCATGTTGCCACTTGTTTGAGCTATCGTCCCAACTTTTCTCGTACCAGTCGGACATGGCTTCGCAACAGAAGAGATCGGTGGGAGGATATTCGAGCTTTGCTAGCTTCTGCACCTGCTGGGGCCCGGCGGACTCAAGGCTGAACATCTGCGAGGCTCAGCATCCTGAGCAGAACAGAAATTTTCCAGCCTGTCACCTGCTCGTTCAGGAGCTTGGTTGTGTTTTTTCCAAACACAGAAGTCACTCGTTTCAACCGTACAGGGTTCAGCAACTGGTAGCCGATCAGGGCTCAATCAGATGGAGCCGTACAGGGTCCGAACCGATCACGGTTCAATGCGGTAGGCACTCCTACCGTAGACGGCATGTTGAACGAACAACCGTCTAGATACACGATACACACTTGTGCAATCCTCCCTCTGTTTGGTGTTCGTCAATGTACTTCCTACTTTCAGAGGTGAAGACATGTAGCCACCAGGCAGTATGTTGGGGTTCTTGGCTTAGCCCCGGGCCATACAATGGAAAAAAGACTGTGTCCAGGTCCTCGGCTTAGCCTGGTTGCCATATGATTTGAAAAAGGGCAGGTACGTTTGCACGGGCATACCGGGGGGGTCTTCGTTGACCACCGCCCTTCGGGGCCCCGGTGGTACCCTGCAATACTAGACAAATGAAAAGGACTCTTGGTGACAGAGTTCCCGACACACGGAGAGAGAGAGAGAGAGAGAGAGACAGAGGCAGGTATGAAATCATTTTGCAGGACACAGCCTGCAGGCTGGTTGCTTGGGCGAACAGTCCAGAAGTCAAGCACTCAGCCCGTTCAGAGGAGTTGGCTACCTCTCGATGCCAGCCCGGACCGTAGCATAATAGCAGAATCGCCAATCCATGACAGCAGAGCAACATATACAAACACATGAACAACAACGAAACCAAATTCACTGAAGCAGGGGAAATTTAACAAGAGCGAGACGACATAGAACCAACAGCAAGAAACACCAGCTGCCATGGCAACGACTATGAACAGGATGAAGACGATGACAAGGACGACAAAAGCAACAGTAACGACGACAACCACGACATCGACAACAACCCTGACGACAACGCAGCGAACAAACCACTTCAGGGGCCTGAACACTTAGGCCAAGGTTTCGGGACGCATTGTAGTATCATTGTTGAAGGACCGTAGGGGATATGGTTGCAGTTCCACATTTTTGCGACCTCTGTCTTACTCTGACCTAAACCCTCATACCCTAAATCCTAAACCGGACTCTGGTGCATACTTTCAGAGGTTTCGTGGAGATGCATCTTCATGAGCTCTGAGAGGCTTTCCGAGGTTGCACTCAGTCTTCCCAGGGACGCAGAAGTGGGTTAGTTCAACGGCAGTCCTCTAAAGTAGGGTCTTTGTTAGGGTCCTTTTCGAAGGGTGCTGTACGATTCTGGGGACCTAAGAAGGGACCGTAACTTGAAGAACTAACCCGTATAATGTCCAGTCACGAACATTTGTAAAGTTCAACCTCCGTGCTCCACGACACCATTTCGTCTTCGAGTGCAGCAAAGATGCATCTCCTCCGCCGATCCTGAGATTTCCACAGAGAACTTCAGGTTTGGGGTTAGCGGTTCTAAGGTTTAAGGTTTAGGGTCTTCTCGGGTTTAGTAATTTCGGGTACCAAAGTTTGGCAAGGCTTCATGGCTTCAGAGTTCGATTTTAGGAAGAACTGCTCCTCAGTCAATTGGTCTTGCGTTCTCTGGGTCCATTGGGCTTGGCAGCGAGGAGCATTTAGAGGCCTCTTGCACAAAAACCCATTTCAACAATTTCCCCTATGACCCGTCCAACTTCAGTATTTAACCAAGAATTCCATGCAAACACCAAGGACATAGCCCCACCGGAAAGAGAGTTGAATTGAACCAACCTGGCCTCTCAAGCCTCATCTTCGTTGCTGACTTCATAAGCACAAAAAAGCGTACACTTTCAGTTCTATAAGGGCTCATATTATCCCAAAAAGTCAAGTTTAAAGTGTCGTGATCATGCTACTAAGACTAATTAAGACTATGTCATGTCGTCCGAGGATCGTCTTGTCGGAGGGCATCTGGCCGTCAGGCTGGATGCCGTGCTCGAGGCAGAAGAGCTCCCAGCAAGCATTTCCGATCTGCACGCCGCCCTGGGGGGTTTAGGGCCGCAGGCGTGAGTCACAGGTGCAGGGTTATAAGTTATAAGCTTTATGAAACGTGCGGGTGTTCACAGCCAGCATCGCCCCTAGAATACTTAAAGCAGCAGCGAGGAAGCTTGGCATTGCCAATCATGCTATTCAGTCTCAGCCCTAGACTCTAAGTGCAAATGTCCCAGCACACAACCTGAGCAGCGGGCCTGACCAATGTGGATGCAGATGGCCTCACGCATGGCTTAGAGTTGAAAGGGGTCGGAAGTCACCTCGTGATGTAGTGGCCTCAGGCACCAATCCTTGTCGAGCCAAACAGCCGCAGCATCAAGTGCACTGTAACCCTGTATATGCAACAGCATATCGAACCCTTTTTTATAAAAGCCCTGGAGCTATGTATGTATGTATGTATGTATGTATGTATGTATGGATGTATGTATGTATCTATGTATGTATGTATCTATGCATGTGTGTATGTGTGTACGTACGTACGTACGTAAGTAGGTAGGTAGGTAGGTATGTATGTATGTATGCATGCATGTACATACATGTATGTATGCTGGCATGTATGTATGTATGTATGTATGTATGCATGTATGCATGTGCATGCATGTGCATGCATGCATGCATGCATGCATGCATGCATGTGTGTGTATATATATACACATACCCTAATTACTAATATTAATGTCATACAACATGCATCGAGCTTCTGAGTCGACGCCCAAGCAAACTTTAACGAGGACTGTGCCGACCGGGCCCCCCAGGCCCGACACCTGCACCCAGAATTGAACCCAGCCCTGAAACCCCCAAACCCTACAACCTGATCTCCAAAACCCTGAAACCGGAAATCCCTACTAAACCCTAAACCCTGAACCCCCGAGACCCTAATCCCTAAACAATCCTAAAAGCCCTAAAGAAACCTTTCCGTCGTAGCCAAAGTTTGAGGATGTCCGCCTTGCCGCGCCACCGCATTCGGACAGCGAGTCGGTGCGAGGATGTTGCCTGCAGAGGCTCTTATAGGGGTTCTATCGAAGGGAGGTTTTGGGGTTTCTAGGGGTGGACCAGCGTACTGTAGTAGACTTCGATAGTGATCTTTAAGAGTTTCATTTGAAGCTGACCTCCTAAGCCCTGAGCCGTAAGTCCGCAAAGCCGCCCAAAACCCACAATTCAAAATCCGAACGGTTTCGGGCTTAGGGTTTAGGGTTTGGGGCTTAGGGTTTAGGGTTAGGGTTTCTTCGGCTTCCGGGAAGCGGGTTGGAGCTCAACACATGAGGCTTCGGGGGATCTATCAGGATGCTATGACGGGCTCTTGTAAGGAGTCGATAGGGCCTTTGGGGCTTCAGGGTCTTGGGCTTTCGTAACTTTAGTATTTAGGGTCTCCCGGTTCAGGGCTCTATAGATATGTGCATGGTCATGTTAGGTTTTGGATTTAGGTTTGGGTGACGGAATCTAGGACTGTAGCATGAAGCCCGAACAAAAAGCCCAATGAGGAGGCCCCGATTTTCTGAACCATTGCAAGCTCTCTTGCAGTGCGTTGCGAAGTAATCTGTCAGCCTCAGTTTCCTCGGCTAGGATGCAGATTCTGCCCCTGTCTTGAGGCAGCTCTTTAGGGTTTAGGGTTTGGGGTTTAGGGCTTATGGTTTAGGGTTTAGGGTTTAGGGCAGTGACAGACGCTGCAACGAGCATCACTCGCATGACAAATGAAGGGCCGATGGACTTCACAGAGTAGGCATCTCATTCCTAAACCCTGGACCCAAAGCATTAAACCCTAAACACTAAACCCTAAACCAAAAAACAACTAAGCCCTAAACCCTAAACCCTAACCCCAAGCCCCCAGAGAGCCCAATACCCCTTAATTAAGGAATATACCTTAAATCATAATATTAAAGCCCCTATAATTTAAGGTATATTCCTTATTTCAGGGGTATTGGGCTCTCTGGGCCCTAAACCCTAAGCCCCAAGCCCTAAACCCTAACCCTAAACCCCAAACCTTGAACCCTAAACCACAAACCTTGAACCCTAAACCGCAAACCTTGAACCTAAACCCTAAACCCTAAACCTTGAACCCTAAACCCCAAACCTTAAGCCCTAAACCCTAAACCCCAAACCTTAAACCCTAAACCTTGAACCCAACACCCCAAACCTTAAACCTTAAACCCTAAACCTTAAACCTTAGACCCTAAACCCTCAAACCCTGAACCCTAAAACCTTAAAACCCTAAACCCTAAACCCCAAACCTTAAGCCCTAAACCCCAAACCTTAAACCTTAAACCCAACACCCTAGACCTTAAACCCTAAACCCTAAACCCCAAACCTTAAACCCTAAACCCCAAACCTTAAACCCTATAGACCTTAAAGCCCAAACCCTGAACCCTCAACGGCCTCCACGGAGTAGGACACCAAAGCCGAACCATGGCCCTCGCGTGTCTCGATGGTGCAAAACCTGAGGCGTCCGAGCTCCCCCTGCTTTTTTTTGGGGGGGTTAAAGGGGCTTATGGTTTAGGGCTTAGGGTTTTTAGGGTTTTTAGGGTGTTTAGGTTTTTTAGGGCTTAGAGCTTAGGGTTTAGGGCTTAGGGGCTTGAGGGGTGTATAGGGTTTTGGTTGTGAATCCTTGGTGGTTTTGTGCGCTCCCTTGCTTTTTGGGTTTGAAAGGGGTGTAGGGTTTAGGGTGTAAATCCTTGGTGTTTTTTTTTGCGATTTGGGCTTTGTAAAGTCTTAGGATTGTCTAAGTTTGTTTTAGAGATCGAGGACTTTAGTAAAGTCCTCGATCCCTAAAAACAAACTTAGACAATAATTTAGAGTTTTGATCGTGTTAGCAGATGTTATTAAGGTTTGGGGTTTGAGAGCTTTTCGGACCACGAGATCATTTTTGTGGTTTTTAGGAGTTCAGGATTCTGGAGTCTGGGGGTTTTCAGGTTTTTTTAAAGTGGACATGTGCACTCACTCTATCTGCACGCGCACTAGCCGATACGGCCCTCCACGAAACATTAACTACTCTCACTTCATTTCCTGCACACCCACGTTCACATTTCCAGCAGACTCACCCTCCTCCACTTCCACAGTGACATCAACAGACCCCACTGCAGGCGCAACATCCATTGATTGTAGGGTTTCGGCTTTGGGGTTTTTGGGTTTAGGGTTTTCGCAAACCCTAAACCCGAAACCCTAAACCCTGAACCCTGAACCCTAAACCCTAAACCCTACACCCTAAACCCTAAGGGTTTTTATTGGGGTCTCAAAGCTTTTTGACAGGGACTTGGACTGACTTTCGGGTTTCTCGATGGTCGTGGGTTTGGGCTTTAGGCTTGGAGGGCTTTGTGTGCGGATTTGAATGTTAGGATTTTTGGAGAAAACACAAAACCCCAAACAAATCCGGACAAGTGTCAACAACATCTAAAGCTCTCCGAAACGTGCCAATCACGGCACCAAGCAGCAGACGACTATTCCTCCGACTGCAGAGCAAGAATATCAGAATGTTCCGAATGCCCAAAACATCCTCCGCAGATTTTCAAGAAACGAACGCAACAAATAGTAGCAGATTTTTCACGAAACGACTGCAACAAATAATTAACAGAAACGTACGCAAAGCCCTAGACCCCCCGAACCTTAAACCCGCCAAGGGATGCCCAGAACCCTGCGGTCTCTGTAAACGGTAATAAAAATCATTACGACTATACTTAAAATAGCAATGGCAATAATGATAACTGATATTTTTTCATTATTATATTTATACTAAGAACAAAGATTCTAATAATACTACTAACGGTTAAAATAGTAACAACAATTCCTCTGATTACTATTATGATTAGTACTACTATTATTATGATTACTCCTATTACTATTGTTATTATTGTTATTATTAGTATGATTATGATTATGATTTTTATGTAAGACTCATGATCATTCTCAGGCCCAGGCATGCCGACCCGTCGCTGGATCAGCGTAAGCACCTCGTGGAGCGCGTAGTTGATGGAGAAGGCCTCCGGAGATCGTTTAGGCTTTAAGGGTTTTAGGGTTTTAGGGTTTAGGGTTTCAGGCTTTAGGGTTTAAGGTTGAGGGCTGAAGCTCCCATGAATATCGGTCCGGGCTACTGTAAGGGTTCTAGAGGGGTTCTTTGAGGTTCTTACTCCCCAAGAAGGCAGGGAAATACAAGGTTAAACTTTCAGATTGTTACTAAAGAATAAGAGCCCAAAAGGTTTAAAGGTTGGGTATTGGAGAACTAAAGGTTTGATTTAAAATAAGTGCCAGAAGGCGCAACTTAGGAATCTCTAGAGGGCTTGAATGGAAGGTCCCGAAAACTTCGAAGAGGGGTTGTGGGGGATGCATTCTGCGACACCTTCCTCACGCTCTCTGACGGAGTGATATCCTAGATCCTAATCCAAAACCCTAAAACCTAAACCCTAAACCCTGAACCCTGAACCCTAAGCCCGAACCCCTAATTCCGGGGTTGAGGGGTTTAGGGGTTGATGGAACCCTGAACCCCAGGATGCTAAGGCTTAGAAGCTGTTCTGTGTCCTCATCTTGGCTTTCGTCCCTGTGCGGTCTATGTCTTGTCGCATCAGCATATGTACTACATCGGCACACTGGCCCTCAGGGTAGTTCATAGCAGTGAAACAGTCTTAAGAATACCCATAGGCTCCTGAGTAGTTCCTTTTGGGGATTACCTTATAGGATTCTAAGTATGAGCCACAAAAAGGAACCACTTAGGAGCCTATGGGTACCTGTACACTTGGAAGAGCAGGGACTCAATCAAGTAAGGTAACCACAAAAAAGTTCGAACCATCCTAAACCCTAAGTTTTGTGGTTTAGGGCCTAGTGTAGAGAAGGGTATATAGGGAATTTAAGAGTCCGTGACCTTCCTTTTCGTATGAGGCCGAAAAGGAGCAGACTGGATCCTCTTCCAGGATTCCGGGTCGGTGTAGGGGCTCTCGCGGTTTGGGGCTTAGGGTTTAAAGTGTAGGGTTTAGGGTTTAGGGACCCCAAACCCAATAATGGTGAACACAAAACATTTTGGGGTTCAGGACCCTAGACCCTCCCCCTAAACCGTGAACCCTAAACCCTGTTTACTTCGGGTTCGCCCTTAGGGTTTTTAGGGTTTTTAGGGGTTTAGGGTTTTTGGGGTTTTAGGGTTCAGGGTTTAGGACCTTGCAGACCCAATAGGAGCTGAGTCGGAGGATGGCATCGTCCAGGCGTGACAGCTCTTTCCTTGTGGCTGAGAGGGGTGCGGCCTAGGGTGCTT